CCCACTTCCCATCCCCACCGGGAATTACCCCCCAGTAGGGACTTTGGGGACCGGGTGGTCCGAAGGGAGAGACCTGAACCCCCTGAGAAACGCCCCAAATCCACGCACGGGTTTGGGGGGGAAGGGACAAGAAGCCCCCAACCCCCCCGGGACAAACGCCCGCTCTCCGGGCCCGAGATCCGCGCTCCCGGCGTTCCCGCTTCCCAAGGGTCCACGAAGATGACCCAGCAGATGGGAAGGGCCTTCAACACCTTCCCACGGGCTGAGACCGACCCCGGCAGGGCTGGGGGGACACAGGTAAAGCTCCACCCACCCCCACCCCAGCCCAGCCCACCCTGGATCTTCCCACTGGATCCTGGTGGGAGTTTTAGAGAAGCTCCGTGGGTGGGAACGGCCTCCGAGATGGTGGAGGGTCAAGCTCAACTCTACCTGCCCTTGAGCCAACTCTGCTGACCCTCAACCCAACCCTAAGACCTCCAACCCAACCCTAAGACCTCCAACCCAACCCTAAGACCTCCAACCCAACCCTAAGACCTCCAACCCAACCCTAAGACCTCCAACCCAACCCTAAGACCTCCAACCCAACCCTAAGACCTCCAACCCAACCCTAAGACCTCCAACCCAACCCTAAGACCTCCAACCCAACCCTAAGACCTCCAACCCAACCCTAAGACCTCCAACCCAACCCTAAGACCTCCAACCCAACCCTAAGACCTCCAACCCAACCCTAAGACCTCCAACCCAACCCTAAGACCTCCAACCCAACCCTAAGACCTCCAACCCAACCCTAAGACCTCCAACCCAACCCTAAGACCTCCAACCCAACCCTAAGACCTCCAACCCAACCCTAAGACCTCCAACCCAACCCTAAGACCTCCAACCCAACCCTAAGACCTCCAACCCAACCCTAAGACCTCCAACCCAACCCTAAGACCTCCAACCCAACCCTAAGACCTCCAACCCAACCCTAAGACCTCCAACCCAACCCTAAGACCTCCAACCCAACCCTAAGACCTCCAACCCAACCCTAAGACCTCCAACCCAACCCTAAGACCTCCAACCCAACCCTAAGACCTCCAACCCAACCCTAAGACCTCCAACCCAACCCTAAGACCTCCAACCCAACCCTAAGACCTCCAACCCAACCCTAAGACCTCCAACCCAACCCTAAGACCTCCAACCCAACCCTAAGACCTCCAACCCAACCCTAAGACCTCCAACCCAACCCTAAGACCTCCAACCCAACCCTAAGACCTCCAACCCAACCCTAAGACCTCCAACCCAACCCTAAGACCTCCAACCCAACCCTAAGACCTCCAACCCAACCCTAAGACCTCCAACCCAACCCTAAGACCTCCAACCCAACCCTAAGACCTCCAACCCAACCCTAAGACCTCCAACCCAACCCTAAGACCTCCAACCCAACCCTAAGACCTCCAACCCAACCCTAAGACCTCCAACCCAACCCTAAGACCTCCAACCCAACCCTAAGACCTCCAACCCAACCCTAAGACCTCCAACCCAACCCTAAGACCTCCAACCCAACCCTAAGACCTCCAACCCAACCCTAAGACCTCCAACCCAACCCTAAGACCTCCAACCCAACCCTAAGACCTCCAACCCAACCCTAAGACCTCCAACCCAACCCTAAGACCTCCAACCCAACCCTAAGACCTCCAACCCAACCCTAAGACCTCCAACCCAACCCTAAGACCTCCAACCCAACCCTAAGACCTCCAACCCAACCCTAAGACCTCCAACCCAACCCTAAGACCTCCAACCCAACCCTAAGACCTCCAACCCAACCCTAAGACCTCCAACCCAACCCTAAGACCTCCAACCCAACCCTAAGACCTCCAACCCAACCCTAAGACCTCCAACCCAACCCTAAGACCTCCAACCCAACCCTAAGACCTCCAACCCAACCCTAAGACCTCCAACCCAACCCTAAGACCTCCAACCCAACCCTAAGACCTCCAACCCAACCCTAAGACCTCCAACCCAACCCTAAGACCTCCAACCCAACCCTAAGACCTCCAACCCAACCCTAAGACCTCCAACCCAACCCTAAGACCTCCAACCCAACCCTAAGACCTCCAACCCAACCCTAAGACCTCCAACCCAACCCTAAGACCTCCAACCCAACCCTAAGACCTCCAACCCAACCCTAAGACCTCCAACCCAACCCTAAGACCTCCAACCCAACCCTAAGACCTCCAACCCAACCCTAAGACCCAGCTCTACCTGCTTCAACCCAACTCTACCCACCCTCAACCCCTCTCTACCCACCATCACCCAACTCTACCCACCCTCAACTCAAGACCCCAACCCTTGTTGACCCTCAACCCAACTCTACCCACCCTTAACTCTACCCATCATCACCCAACTCTACCCACCCTCAACCCCTCTCTACCTACCATCACCCAACTCTACCCACCCTCAACTCAAGACCCCAACCCTTGTTGACCCTCAACCCAACTCTTTTGACCCTCAACCCAACTCTACCCACCCTTAACCCAACCCATCACCACGTCACCCTTCTCCTCACTCTCCAGCTGAAGACCACAGGTGCTGGAAGCTCCTCCATGGTCTCCTCTCCCAATTCTCTGCTCCTTCCCAGCTCCAACCTTTCCCTTGGCTCTCTTGGGCTCATTGGGTGGAGCCCCTGGGCTTGGCACCCACCTTCTTGGCCATGGTGGCCCTGTCCCAGGATGTCCCCATCCCACCAGGTCTGTGGTGGCCTCATCCCAGCACGGTCCATGCTGGCCCCATCTCAGGCTATGGTGGCCCCAATCCCACCTTGGGCCATGGTGGTCCCAGTTCAGTCCCTGGTGGCCCCAAACCCCCTGGGCTCCCTGGTGGCCCCAATCCCAGTTTGGTCCCTGGTGGTCCCAGTTCAATCCCTGGTGGCCCCAACCCCAGTTTAGTCCCTGGTGGCCCCAGTTCAATCCCTGGTGGCCCCAATCCCAGTTTAGTCCCTGGTGGTCCCAGACCCCAATCCCCCTGTGCTCCTTGGTGGCCCCAATCCCATCTTGGGCCATGGTGTTCCCAGATCAGTCCCTGGTGGCCCCAATCCCAGTTTGGTCCCTGGTCGCCCCAATCCCACCTTGGGCCATGGTGGCCCCAGTTCAGTCCCTGGTGGCCCCAATCCCACCTTGGGCCATGGGTCCCTGGTGGCCCAATCCCATAGTGGTCCCAATCCCATCTTGGGCCATGGTTGTCCCTGGTGGCCCTAATCCCATCTTGGGTCATGGTGGTCCCAGTTCAGTCCCTGGTGGCCCTATCCCAGTTCAGTCCTTGGTGGCCCCAAACCCCCTGGGCTCCCTGGTGGCCCCAATCCCAGTTCAGTCCTTGGTGGTCCCAATCCCCCTGTGCTCCTTGGTGGCCCCAAACCCCCTGGGCTCCCTGGTGTCCCCAATCCCACCTTGGGCCGTGGTGGCCTCAGTTCCACCTTGGGCCATGGTGGCCCCAGTTCAGTCCCTGGTGGCCCCAATCCCAGTTTGGTCCCTGGTGGTCCCAGTTCAATCCCTGGTGGCCCCAATCCCAGTTT